CAGTCTGACTAGATGTATCATAGCCACGGAGACCTGAGCAACTTCTCGTCACACGCGCACACGCTATTGTACTATTACTATATTTTCTGCTGAATAAACATAATTCTATAGTTCAATTTGGTACTTGTTGATTTGTCTCTAAAGCTTACGGCTTTTGGAGCCTTTGAGATTACGCACACAACATTTCTGGCGCAGTCGGTTTAGGATTTTCAAGGAGGCAAAACCATCAAAGGTCCATCGTTGACAAGAGGAATTGATCACTCTTCTTCATCAGCAACTCCGAAGGAAGGTTCCAAGCAAAACAAGTGCAGCGATTTCAAAAGGATCATGGCATCATCAGCAAATACCGCTTTATTGTAAGTGAATAATTTATTAAATATTGTTACATAGACGTATGTACAATAGAGGCGTATGGAATTTATTTAAGGTAATCAAGTATAATAGTAGTGTAGGTGTTAGAGTAGAACATATATAAAAGCCCATTCAGTCAATTATTAAAACCCATTGAAGTTATTATTGAGATTATTATTATTGAATTATTGAAGTTATTGAAGATTATTATTGAAGTTATTATATTGAGGATTATTATTGAAGATTATTATTGAAGTTATTATATTGAGGATTATTATTGAAACTATTGAGATTATTATTGAAGTCATTGAGATTATTATTGAAGCCTATTGAGGTTATTATTATTGAAGAATATTATTATGATTATTATTGAGATTTAACTATTGAGAGTTATTGTTATTATGAGGATATTATTGAGAATTATTATTGAAGTATATTGAGATTATTAAGAGAATTATTATTGAATATTATTAAAGGGTATATATATTGAGAATTATTAACTGAAGTAATGAAGGGTGTATTGAATGAATATTAAAGGCATTTTATGGACAATAAAGGAAAAGATACATCTCCTTTGGAATTAGATAATCCATCGTATAACACAGAAAAAGATAAATCTAATCTTGAAAAAGAAATATTAAACGTTACACATAGGTTAATAAATTTCGACAGTCCAGATAAAAATAAAGTAAAAACTAAAAAAGAGAAACCTATTTTAACTAGAAGTAGTAGCTTAGATAATAAGTCAGGTAGAACTACACGCAGTAAAGTTACTGATAGTTTTGAACACACAGAGTTATTATTTGATAAAAAGTTACGAAATAAAAAAATGGGTACTATAAAATTAGAGGACGCATTTAAATTAATACCTTTATGCACAGGCGAGGATGACATATATCCATTTATTAATGCATGTGACATGGCAGTGAGTCTAGTCGAAGAAAAATGTGCACCAACGTTAGTGAAATATATTACTACCAGATTAACTGGTAGAGCGTTAGAAATGATACGTTATAAAAATGTGACCAAGTGGACATTTATTAAAAGTTATTTAACAGACGCGTTTGAGGATCTAACAACTGCATCTAGCTTACAAATACAACTTGTTTATACTTGTACATACTTGTTGATTTGTCTCTAAAGCTTACGGCTTTTGGAGCCTTTGAGATTACGCACACAACACAAATTTCAAAATATTTTGACTCATGTTGAACTATTTACAGGCATATAAAATCATCTATTTTTATAAGTTTTTTTTAAAAAATAAATGTGAATGAAGAATTTTTACTCCGTCAAAAAAATTGAAAATATAATACAATGTTCTTAATAAGTTGTTGTAAGTAGAAATTAAAAAAGTTGTCTCGGTATTAGAGCATAAATTCACAATAACTTTTTATGAGCGTCTGAAGTTCAAATTTTTAAATTATTTTGAGTTAGAAATTCTTAAAAAATTTTTAAATCCAAGATTAGATTGTTCAATATGATTTCTCATTCGTTTGTTTACGAAAAACGTACGCGTTACCTTAACCCAAAAAATAATGTCTACTAGAAAGTCAAATTAAATTTGTATGATCGTTTGAACTTCAAATTTTTACAACATTCGATATCATTCGATTTCTCATGGAACGATTTTTTTGTTATTAAAAAAGGAATGACCGTAGATACTTTAAATGAATAAAAAAATTTTGTTTTATCATTTCCTATAATTTATAACATTTTCAAAGTATTTTAAATAGTATTGAGCTGTTAACGGACGTTTTTAATTTATATTTTTTTTTTATATAAATGTCGATTAAATTTTCTTCATTGGGCAAAACAGCTTGAAAATTTAAAACAAGCTTCCTACCAATATATCGTTACAATAGCAATTGGAAACTATTAAAAATACATAGGAATAATTTTTTTCGTATGAAATTAAAACTCAAATCTTTTTAATTATAATTATTATTGGAGTCTGTACTATTACAGTGTATTTTAAACTTTTATATTTTATTGAGATCTCAAAACTTTGTTTTTATATCATGCATAACTATAACCCTAGATCCGATATTAAATATAATTTTAATTTTTGTAAAACTATTGTAAAGAACTATTAATCTGAATATAAATATTTAAATAAATGAAAGCTACTAGTTTAATTTTTGGAATAATAAGTGCATTAACGTTTTCAAAAAAATTATCCACTCAATAAATTACAGGAAAAAGAGGGGTAGGTCTCGTTTAAAAACTAGAAGTGTGTGACCACCCCACGGGAGGCTCTTCCAGTAAAATGAAAATCCTCAATAATTTTAAAATATTGTCTTTAAATATATATTACAATTTCAAAAATCATAATTTGAATAAATTAGTTATTGAATTAAAAAACGGAGATGGACATAATGACTTGTGAATCATTCTCATAGGCGGTCCCAGGATTTTACTTCAGGTGCAGCCGTGCAGCATAGATGGTTAATTTCTAAATGTTAGGGGTATTGGGAAATGGGAATGTGTACGAAGTTAGATTTACTGAGTATCGATGAACCATAATTTACTTTAGACTATTACATATAATTTTTGAAACTAGTAAAATAGTAATTTCCTTTCCTCCGAACTTGGTTTTTCTTCATATTATGATAATTATTATAGATGTGATCGCGCGTGACTATAAATACCACCAGGTTAGGTTATTCTGTGATACCACTGTTAGCCTAGGGTCTTCCTCCCTTTAATTCTCGCTTGATCATCAGATCTACGAGCTAACAACTATCCAGTGTTAGGTAAATTACTTTCGATAAGAAACTAATTACGTTACCACTTACCTACTTGGCTACTTATTACATTAAATATTTTTATTTAAATTACATAATTCGCGTTTCCCGACATTATTTTTATCACGTTATGTTACTTTTTCATTCAAAAAGTAATGCGTAATGAATTGTTACTTTTTCAAAATTTAACGACAAATTATTCAGTCTATAACGAATGCCGAATGTAATAAGAAGTAGGTATACTATTAATTATTATATTATGTAAATTGTATAGTAGTATATGTAATACATTAATTATGTAGGTACACTATATTGATAATGGATGGATGTAATACACATGAATAAAATACGTAAAATGCCTGCATATTTTATAATATTCATCATTATTATCTAAAATTTTCAGAATGGTAAATACATTTTACCGATTTTTAATTTTTCTCGAATATCTTAACCCTTAGTCTATGTCATGGACTCTACATTCATAACTTATTTTAATAACGTGGAAAATAACACGTTGCTCCAAAGAAATTACTTTTATAAGAAATTTGGTTACAATTGCGTTAATTTAAATAATATATAATAAAATTACTACAGCGTTACTGGCTACTACAATAGTAATTTGTATTCTTCGTTACGTTACTATCCAACACTGAAACTAACAAAGTAACAACTAAGTTCATGATCAGAACAATATATCGTGAAATAACAAAGATATAAACTATAAAATATCTACCTTATGAGTTATGAATAGTTATATGATTTCAACCAATAAATTAAAGTGGTGGTTGTAATGTCAGGTGCAGCACAGGCTGCAGAGGCTGCACCCGTAGGACCGCCTATGATCATTCTGTACATTCTATATACTTGTGTAATATAATTGTAATTTTCACTAGGGTCAAAGTGGCAGTGTGTACAGTCGAGGAAAAATGCAGGCACTAGAGCCATATCAGTATTTCCGCAGGTACATAATATGCACTATGTATAGGTGTATGTAATATGTACACAATCTAAAACAAACAAACTGTATCTGTTATTTTATCAGGCACTCAAACTTTAAAGAACTAGCCTTAGTGTAACAACATCAAATGGGCAACTCATTATTAAAATTACCTTACTATGTGCTGAATTATATTGGATAGAATCTTAATTTTTATTGTTTGTTAGTTTGTCACGATAATGTTTTACTGGACTCTGGAATTATCAGATTGATTTTTATAAGTTAAGTACCATAAAGGTAAGAAAATATTACTAGGTGTACATACATTATTGAGTTCATGAATATTTTACTAAAAAATATATTGTACAGACTACCTGAAAACAATATCGTGTAATTAAAAATGTACAAACATTTTCCATACTATAATAGAATCCTTCTATTTTTGACTGATTATTATTGGTTAACTTATTTTGCATTATCTTGAACTTATTTTTTTTTTATTTTTATTTATTTTTTTTTTTTTAACTTATATTAAAGTGATTATAAAAATGTGTCTTTCACTGCAAGACTTGAAATTTAAATTAATTTGTTCGTTTGAATTTCAATTTAGCTTATTGATACCAATTAGTTTTTTTCTGATATAAATTTAAAATTATGTATTGGTTTTATAATTTAAGATATTATTTCACTGAACAGTAACTGTTCTGTATTTTTCTGTTTTTAATTAGGTTTTAAACATAATTTTGCTTTTTGGTTGTATAAATTAATAATTTTAAATTAAAGTTATTATTTTTTAAGTTAAACATAATTTTGAACATAATAATCAAAAATTGTTTTGATATTACTTTAGATTTCATGGAGTATTATGAACTATTTTTATCGACAATTTTTTTTTTGAAGTGCACTGGTTTTAATTTTAACTTTTAAGGTATCCAACATCTAGACTCAATATTATACAATTCACAATGCATAATATACAGCAAATACCTGAATCCAAAAGATATGAACCAGCAAAATACGATTATAAAAAATCGTCTTATGCATGGATATTTGATGTACTACAATCCCTAAGAAAGTAAGTGATAAGTAATTTAAAATGCTAGATTAATATTTGTAACAAATTTTTGTTTTTAGAGATGAGACTTTTTGTGATATTAAACTTGAAACAGACGATAAACAATTAATATTCGCACATAAAGTAGTTTTAGCATCGGTAAGCTCATATTTCCATGAAATGTTCACACATTTTGTAGAAAAGAATCATGATCTTGTAGTCATGCATCAATTAGATTTAACTGCTTTAAAGCTGTTAGTGAATTTCATTTATTCTGGAGAAATTAGGGTCACTGAAAATAACGTCGAAGTAATAATAATTAAAGTTTGATTTTACTACAGTAAAAAAAATTATTAAGATTGTTTATTGTTTATTTTTCAAGGTTTTGTTACCAGCTGCAAATCTCTTGCAGTTACAAGAAGTAAAAGAGGTATGTTGTGGTTTTTTACAGTCACAACTATGCCCTACAAATTGTATTGGTATAAACGCAATAGATGATTTGCATAGCTGTACGACATTGTTAACAAGTTCAAAATTATATATTCTACTACACTTTTCGTATGAAATATATTTTTTATAATGATTCTATATGAAAATAGTATTTATTAACATTCTATTTTGATTTTTAGAGAAGTTGATGGTGGAGACGAATTCCTTTCCTTATCATCTGATCAAGTGGTTAAGTTGACCTCCAATGATGAACTTATAGTTCCATCTGAAGAAAAAATAGGCAAACTAAAATTGATAATTATTATATTCAAGTATTGGGGATGACAAATTAAGGGTTCACCCTCAAAATATTACTCGCTCAAATTATCCCCGTCATAAATATTCCAGATAAAAATATCCCCGTTAATAGTATTATCCTGCTTGTTCATACGACCCATACCTTGCATACAAATATTTTAGATCAGACCATCACGATGCACGAGAACGAATCCATTCTACAACCAATCAATCTCGAAACGGGAAATTCCCAACAGTACGAAAATCTGGTGACAAACACACTAACACAGAATAATCCACAGGAACTTCTATATCAATCAGGAAAATTCGTAGATACCATCGGACTAGAAGCTGCTTTAAAGTTATTACTATCGAAATTCAGTGGGACTAATCAAGAAGACCTCGAGCTGTTCTTAGAATAATGTGAGTTTGCAATTATGTGCGCCAACGAGAAAGCTAAGCAGCGACTGCTCCAAGGTATTGTTATTTGGGTTACGGGAAAGGCCCGGGCCGCAGTAAAATTCCGGTCGATTCAATCCTGGGCCGAACTCAAAGATACTTTAAAAACGTCACTAGAACCCCAGCAAACCACGACACATCTATACTTGGAACTCTACTCCCGCAAACAGAAAAATGACGAAGACGACATGACATATTCTTCGAGAATTGAGTCCTTACAGACAGTCATATTAGAACAAGAAACATACGGAAAATCCCCAGAAGTCGCTGCAGCCTTGGAGAATAGCTTGAAGGCGCAGACCATTCAAGTTTTTATAGAAGGATTGGGAAAATTGAAAGATCTCATAAAGGCTCGAAATTCACCAACCCTTGAAAAAGCTATAAAAGCCGTAAGAGAAGAGGAAAGGGTGAGAAAATCACTCGACGAGTCCAAGAGTTTTTATGAACCTTCTGCCAAACAAAATAATGGAAAAACGCTCACAAAGAAACCTAGTACTCCTTGTTTCCATTGTGGGATAATGGGACATTGGGCCCGAGACTGCAGGTTTAACCAATTTAAGCCGAATAATGGTCATACACCCCAAAACGCTCAAAAGGCGATCGTTCATACGATTACTTGTCGTTATTGCAAGAAACCGGGTCACCACCAAGGAGGAGTGCAGGAAACTAAAATACTTGACTTCAGAGCGAGCCTCAGAATCTATAACGACCACCTCAAAAAACTCTTCACAGTTGGGAGCCGACGGCGGGCGCCCAGCGGGAAGCCTGAAAACAGCCGCCGTCTTATTTGCAGAAATATTTTAAACAATACCAGAAAATTGAACAGGATCATGTGCCGTGTCAAAGTCCTCAGACCATTCCAGCAGACAGCAAATTTTTAATCGACTCTGGCAGCGACTTAATCAAACTCTCGTTGTTGGATACACAATCAGTTTTTAAATTCGGCGCGCTGCATGCGATCCGAATTAGTGGTAATGTTGTCACCCTGCTGCTCCGCCGACGAAGTCTACTCAAACCGAACTTTGTCCTATGAGGAGGGGACGGGTACTGTCGCGGTCTAGCCGTTGGTCGCCGATACCCGCCACCACCGTTTTTGTCGTTTTCCAGCCGTCTAGGCAAAGTGTTGTTCTGTTTTTTCGTTCTCACGACCGCCGTTTTCTTGTATACGCCATTTTGTTTTATGTTCAGCTTCCGAGCTCCGGCGTTTTCTTTTCCGTACTCGACGTATTGTTTCGACCGTCCGTGTCGCAATCCGACAGCGTTTTAGCGACCTTTGTCGTTCGTCCGTTGATTTTGTGTGACTTGAGCCCTGCTCGTCCACACACCACGTGTTCCGCCCGTCTGCGGTCACGTTTTAGCGACCTTTGTCACTCGTCCGATGAATCTGTGCGACTTGAGCCCTGCTCGTCCACATACCACGTGTTCCGCCCGTCCGTTTCTAACGCAGTGCGAACCGTGTCGTAACCGTTCTTGTTTTTCGTGCGTTGTGCACCCGGTTGCATCGCTTCAACCGCCCGTAACGTGAGCCATAAAATAGACGTGTTGGCTTTGTCGCCCGTCCGTATCGTACGCTGTGCGACCCCGCTCTCGAACCCGCGGTCGTGGTGTTCTATTCGAGGTGCAAAACCGCTCTTCATTTCCGACGTTCCGTCAAGCTACGAAGTCTCGACACGCGGGCCAGTTTCGTCAAGTCGACGTGGGACACACCGTCGTGCTATCTTGATTCCTTGTCCATCTTCTGCCGGTCGCCGTCGTTTGGGACAACTGCTCCATCACCGCGTTATCACGTCCTGCTATTAACATCGCCGTATCAGGTCGTACACACGGTTATCGTATGTTGTCAGTTTTTATATTATCTCACCGATCGGTTTGTGATCGTGTGATTACTAACATTAATTGTAAGTCTCATTTTCTGCAGCATTTTGTAATAAATTATCCCGTACCTTTCATACTGTAAATATTGTTATTGTTGATAAGCTTTCAGTCATCATCTTCAATCTTTAATTTTCTTATTCCTGAACCCGATCCTATACAGTCCACTCTCCCCCCCCTACAGGGTTATTGACAGGCCAGCGACGAGTAGGTAAGTGAGACACACGATCCGACACTTGTAGGCAGCCTTCAGCACACGCACACGCATACACGCGTCATCCGGCTTGATGTGCAGCCGTCGCTCACTCGTCATTGCATGATGAAGTAATGGTATACGACCACACTGTGTACGAACTCAAAGGAATAACAGACAATTTTGTGACGACTCTAGGATTTGCCACTATCGAACTTCAAATTGGAGGCGAAAGAATACGCGTTGAATTCCACGTTGTTAAATCCGATTTCCCCGTGCCAAATGAAGGAATCTTAGGCAAACCATTGAGTATCGGACAAGGAACCATAATAATCAACTACCAGTCACAAGAATTAATCTTGCCTAATATTTCGAACATAACTTTACTACCAAGAACAGAAACTCTCGTTGCCATTCCAGCTCCAAATAAAACAGAGGGTTCAAACATTTTAATCTGTAGCCAATACATTACAAATGCCATCACTTGTGGAAATTGTGTTGCCACAGTAAGAAACCATCTTATGTACGTCACACTTATTAATCCAACCGACAATGAAGTTCAACTGCAAATCCCTCAATTAGAATAACTCGAGCATGAAGATTTCAACGAAGCTAATGTGCACCTATCACAGATCTCAGAAAATACAGAACCTTGTGTGGATGGAAACAGAATCTCTCGCTTACATTCAGCCCTGCGAACAGATCATTTAAATTCAGAAGAAAAATCCTCATTGCTTACCATTTGTGAGGAATATTCTGGTGTGTTTAATTGCAAGGGGATAAAATCACTGCAACAACTGCTGTAACTCACGAAATCAAAACTTCTGAAGCCGTTCACCCGATTCATGAAAAACCTTATCGACTACTCCAGCGACATTGCTAAGAAATAACAGAACAAATGGAGATTTTAGAGCGAGAAGGTGTGATTGCTCCTAGTGATTCTCCCTGGAACGCTCCTCTTTTGGTGGTTCCTAAGAAACCAGATGTTAACGGAGTAGTAAAATATCGAGTATGCGTTGACTTTCGACGACTCAATCAAATTACGGTGGGAGATGCTTTTCCACTTCCCAATATTACGGACATCCTGGATCAGTTAGGAAAGTCCAAATATTACAGTACCCTCGATTTAGCTCAAGGATATCAACAGGTGCTAATGAACCCGGCAGACCGCGAGAAGACAGCCTTCTCTACGGATAAAGGCCATTTCGAATTTTTGCGTATGCTGTTTGGTCTAAAAGGTGCTCCCGGAACCATTTTTTGGTTACGAAATAACATATTTACATGTTACGTGGAACTTTGTTTTAAATTTTAAATTTGATAAATATTGTCAAAGTTTGAACTTTTAATGCTTATAAAAAAATATCGTGCCCATGTATTTTCAATATTTTCCAACTGCTATTGTAACAATATATCAAGAGTCTTGTATTAAATTTTCATGCTTTTAGACCCAACCAATACAATTTTATTGACATTTATAGGTAAAAAAAAAAGAAAATTGAAAATGTCCGTCAACAGCATAAAACGAGTCAAAATGTTTTGAACATTTTATCAAGTATATGAATTATTGTTTAGTTAATTATTTTAGTTTTTTTTCTAAATATTTAAAACTTTTACTCTAAAATATAATGTTATTGGTATGCATACAAGCTAATAGATTATTAATACCAATATGCGATATAGGTAAAATTATAAATGTTATCAAACGACGCAAAAAACAGTTAATAATACTCATAACTGCACCATTCAAGATATTTATCTTCTTGGCTAATTTACAACTAAAAAGTATGATACTATTATGTAAATTGAACGATACACTATACATAATACTACGTACTAAATTTGTGTCGCAACTTCATTTGTTATATCAACAATTATTCATATAATAATAAATAAAAATTACCAAAGCAATGAACATACAGCTTGTTGACATTTATGAATAGACTTCTGAAGTTTCTACACATGCATAGACACATACACACAGAACACACAATACATACTTCATAAATAAGAAAGTAGTAACGACGAGCTTGATTTCATCAGTTCACTCGCCTACAATAGCCATAAGTCATTAAGTCATAACGCTTAAATGTGTATAGAATTTACTAACTAAGTACTGAAAACAATTTCACAGTTGTGCATTAATATCGGTATCCGGCGAATAGGTAGTAACCATAAATAATGAAATGATTAATTTTATTTTAAAAGGAATATTGATATTGTCATGGTATCCGTCGCTCAAACAATTATATCGGCATATTCATAATATGCAAGACTGGGCAAGTTAACTATTTTTTTCTAATTCATTAAGTTAAGTTACTATAGAAAATGTAAATTAATTTTTAAGTTAAAAGTTACCTTTATTTTTTTTTAATTAGTAAAATGTATAAGTTAATTAGAAAATAAAATTAACTTAACATAGTTAAAAATAAGTTACTTTTAATGTCTTACAATTTTTAAGTAAATGTTTGTAATAAAATTAGTTACTGTAGGTTACTTATATTTGTATATTAAACGATGTATTATA